GGCGTCTTTTTGTTTGTGAAATCATAGATCGGATGATCTGCAGGATAATTAGAGAGATCAAACAGGTGTTTGTCTTCTTGTAGTGTTTCGTACAAGTCTGTCACGTTTGATATTTCATACATCAAACTGTCGGAATCAGTCATTAACAAACGTATGTTTTCATACCTAGACAACATGTGATTGTAATGGAAATCGTACATGATACATTTAGAGAGATCCAAAATACACTGACCCATGTATATTGGTTTGTTGAGTACTAGTTTGATTTTACTGTTCTCTATTCCAACTAAATCTTCGTTGAATATTTTGAATCTTTGAAAAGACGGTTTAGCTACATACTTTTTCATTTTTTTCTCTGTATGGGACAGTTTTATGTCGACCCTATTGCGTACGTTTTCCATAGTTTTACCAAACACAGAATTGTTCATTAATTTAAACAAATCTTTTTCAAATTCAGAGGATGTTTCCCGTCATTTTTGACTGTTAAAGTCTATATATTTCTTCAACCACGGATGCTGTTTAAACTCTAAAACTCTGTGAATCTTGGTCAATTTCATTCCCAACTCTAAGTATAGCTGTAAATTCCTACAGTGGCAGATATATTTCGTCTTATAGTACGAGGGTACGAGTTTACGTGTGACGATACGACCCTGCAGTTTCTTGTCGGTATGTTTAGGACTAGGGTGTAATTCTTTCCACAGCTCTCTACTATGAGGGGACACATTTCATCAGAAATGACTTTAGTTTCCGGAGCAAGCGGATAGTTCGAATGAAGATCGTGCAGCTCTGTCGGGTATTCTAAGTCTACTTCTAATACGTAACCCGTGTCACCATCTTTTGATATGTTTTCAACATCGAAATGTTCCGCATTGTCAACCCACTGAAATTCTCCCACGGGTAACGGCTCGTCCATGGCCTTACCGTAGAGGTTGTTACAATCCGTATAGAGGATGTATTTATTGGGTTTAGACGAATCGTACGTTTCCAGTATGTAAGGATTGTTAGCCTTTGAGTATTTGTATGATATCATCGATACTCCACCCCGTACCCCGCTCTCGAAAAAAAAGATACATGTCCGGATCTGTCAATAACTCTAAACAGACTCCAGTCATTTTCAATGCAGCACTCCATGCAAGTCCAGGACTTGTATAGAAATGGGCTGGATCTAACCCATAGTAATTCATGCACATGGTTCTAAAATTTTCAAAAAGATCTCTCAGCAGTAAACGTCTGTTTTTAAATAGGGATCATGATATTCTCCCAAATTTTGAATGTTTAATGTATTCCAAACGCACTGTGCATGCTCATAATCAACATCTGCAATGTTTGATTTACTTAATTGGCTGTAAAAAGCTGATTTTGGAGGTAAAGATGTTTCATCAAATTTGTTTACGTTGTCTACGTACTCATAAGGGTAACCCCTTTCCTCAACAGCAGACGCGCATGCCCTACAGAAAATTCATTAGCTAAATGTTTAAACGACGCTAACCCCTCTTGAGCTAGATTGTTAACTAATGATTCCAAACTTTGAGACATGAATTGGAATGAATCAATGAAACGTAGGTTTCCCAAACTGAAGGAAATATATTTTTCCATGTTATTGGGTATACACTTGATATCGTGATCTTTAAATAAACCCATACTTTCACAGGGTATGTGCCCATGGAATCCTTTTAGATTGTGAAATACGACGGGGATGTGGGAGGGATATTGAAAATTGAGATTACAGTTCTGACAGCTAGCACCTCTAAATTTACCCGTCAAATGGCAATGATCTCTGACTTTGACGTCATTTTCTGTAAAATAGTGACTACATATGTGACATTTTGTGCTATTTTGAAACTCTCGCTCGTTGTCAGGGGACATGATCAAAGGTTCTACATGCTGTAAAATGTCTTTGATTTCATTTTCTTCCTTTACTATATTTTCCAGAAAAGTTTTACTTACGTTTGGGTTTGGACCTCGATAAATAACTGGAGGTTGGTATACTTTTTGTCTATGCTAACGACCTGATAACCAAACCCACAAGGTTCAAATTTTGTATTGCGAGTCGTACTCGATTGTTTTGGATCGGGTAGACATGTATCCATTCTCTGAGCGAAAGTTTCGAAATCTGCATAGATGACAAAAGGAACTTTTAACTGTTTTGCAAAATCGTTAAATTCTAGCATGTTTTCATCATCTTCTGGAAGTATCACATGTTGCGGATTATGTTTTGAACAGTATTGAATGTGATTTTCTAATAAGTCCTTTCTGGTAAACTCCTGAAGACAATAATGGCAAAAGTGAGTCTTATGCTGTGTCTTTTTTTGTTCTAGATAAAAACTTATCAAGATTGCTAATGAGACAAAAATGACTTTTTTCACCCTTTTTTAAATATAATAAATTGACATGTTGACGTACTTGCCGTAATTTCGTAACATACATGGGGAAAATATCCTTATCCTCATATCCAAACACATTCACAGAAATATCATTTTGTCTTTCAAATTTTTCCACTTGCGATATTGCCACAGGATACTGAATTCCAGACATGTCCAGCTCATGTTCATAGGGTATGTAGTTTGTTACTCTTTCCGGAACTTGATCAGGATGGAGGGATGCTAGGACAGACCACAGGAAACATTTTTCGTCCTTGTTGATGACGTTGATTATATCAGTCCTCGTGAAAGTAGTTGGTATTGATAGGTATGAAGAACCACTCAAAGGTGAGTAGTTTACAGTACTTATTTCCAATTTCACTATCTTTTTGAGTCTCCAATTGGATCCCTCTCTCAGATATTCTTGAAATGATACACACATTTTCTGAAACGCCTCATTTAAATTGTGTAGAGAAAAAGTTTCATTTGGTAGAAATGTATAGTTTTTACTTCGAAAATGTGGATACGATTGTGTTTGTTTCCTTCTTTGTCTTCCTTTTCCAGTTCTACCTGTACACAGATGTACCACTTGATTCCATGTAAGGAATGGCACTGTTTCGTAACGTGGTCCACTACTTCCTCTTTAGTATTACTGAAGAAAGTAAGTCAGTCAGCATCATCTTCATCATTAGGGTAAACAGATCTTACACTGGCGGATCCATTTAAGCTGCTATCGTCAGAAAACTGATGGTTATTTACGGGTGGCGGTGTGATAGGTTCGACTATGGGAGAATATCTGTCAGTTATGGGAGACTGTACGTGAGAGGATCCTGATATGGAAGACGGTCGAGGCATGGGAACGTGAGAGGGTCCTGGTATGGGAGACTGTATGTGAGACGGTCTCGGCATGGACGACTGTATGTGAGACGGTCTCGGCATGGGAGACTGTATTTGAGACGGTTCCGGCATGGGAGACTGTATGTGAGAGGGTCCTGGTATAGGAGAATGTTGTAGAGGTTGTTGTGCGTTCCCACCATTTAAACTATCTTTCCTGCTATACGAAACATGACATTGAGTACATGGAAATGGCTTTTCGTGCCCTGCCAGATGTCTCCTAAAGTTGTCTAATCTTCTTATATGCTTGTTACAGACATGACATTGGTAACCACTATTGGCAAGTCTCAGTTGTTTAGAGGGTGGTTGATTTTCTTTGTCTTCTCCGAGAGCTCTTTTAAGTTCTCGTAATTGTCAAGCCACAACATCATCGGGATAGTCACGCAGTAGCTGTTCTATCGAGGGTAGTTCGGCCATGGCTGTCGACTACACTATGAGCTTTTTTTCTGGCTACTGGTGTATTTATGAATTTCGTGCTATTGAAAGTTATATATAGGGATGCCATCGTGTTTAATACTGTCTAACGTTATAAGAAACATGACTGAACACAAATGGAGAGAAATTTACACCTTAAACGAAAACCATTTCCGCTTGACTGGTTTATTTAAATTATTCATAAAACGTGTCGGTGTACCTTCTACTGCCAATTGTCCTCCTTTTTGTTTGTCTTTAGTCTCGGTAGGCTGGTTTACGTCATTTTGTTCGTGTTCAATATTTTCATTATGTTTCTCAATTTCCTTTTTATCAGCTTTGTGGTCTACTTTATCAGGTTTGTTTACGGTGTCTTTTACTTCCTCTCCGATTAATCTGTCATATTTAGTCTTCGTTATGAGGACGTGTTCTCTTGCCATTTCTGATAGTTGTGGATGAATATCGATAACACTTCAATTAAAGCTAAGAACCTCCTTCTCCTCTGTTTCGATGTTATGTTTTGAGCTAACACCTTGCGAATGGCGAGTTTCTGTTTAAATACAATTTTTTTATCCTCAACTGACGTAGGAACGTTATGCATGACCGTATTATATATAATTTCCGTCAATAATTTCAATTGCTCTCTGCTTAACGTATTAATAATGACAGCTTGTGACGTGGAGCAGAAAGCATGAAATCAAGAAAATAATTCATTTTTCGGCTCGTAGATGATGGGATCCTGTCCTGGTTATATCCGAGTACGAAGTGGAGGAAGTTCTGTCGGACCATCGGTAATATTCAACTGTGGAGCATGTGGACTAACATCGACAAAAAGATATCCGTATCTTTTAGAAACGGCAGAAAGGTAACTCTGTCTAAAATATTCCAACCGTCTGGGAAAATCTGTCGACCTAATGTCTCGATTTGTGCCTGGTCTCTATAATTTCTAAACAGGGCGAAGTAATGAGTATTTAAACTTAAAGTACGCATGACTTTTCTCTTCTGAAATACGTTTTGTACTAAAAATATAACTGTCACATTTCGATGATGTGACCCTATGCAAAACATTTTCATGAGTTGTACAGAATTAGATCCCTCTATCAAACAGTCGTCTAACACTATTATCTTATGTTTGTCTGTAATAGATGTCCACTCTTCAAACTGAGTTTCATCCAGTATTCCCAACAAAGGTGATTTTCTTGATATTACGTTTTAGTTCGTCGAACATGGGTTGCCAAGCATCGTAACAGATCATAATCTTGACTGTAGGCTGACTAAACAAATCGTCGGCATGTTCTAACATTTGTTTCATCAAAAAGGTCTTTCCACTTCCTGAGCTGCCTGCCAACTGTATCGTGGCGGGACAGACGATGGGGATCAGACTTGTCTGTGACATGATTCAAAATGAAAACAAGTGAGTGATGTACATACATTTTATTGATATTCAGAACAGCATGATTGGATCCCATCACCAGTTTGAAAACAAAACGGAAAAGAATTATAAATGTACTCATATACAAATTCATCGTTATTCTTATAATCGTTACAAAATACATTAACAATAGTGCTAAGTGGTACATTTCTACATCGATTGAGTAAATAAAACAAACAGTAACGTCCACACACGTTAGATCTGACACTTTGTAATCGTGTTACATTAAAAGATGTACAGTTTGGGAGTAAAAAGTATTGTGGTGGGTGACCATAACTGTCAAAACATTCTTGTTTTGTTGGCGATTCCATAAAATAAAATACCCAGTGTCGTCCGGGTTGGCGACTTTTATCAGTATTTACAATAAATCCAGTGGGGAATCGTTCTATATGTGTTGGTATACGATCACGCGCATATACATCTATGTTCAGTTCTCTCATAAACGAGATCACAATCGATGACGCAGCGAAGTTGATTGGTATTCATTGTTTTAAAATGTCTCTTGCAGCGTTGATTTCAAAATAACCGGGATACTCGGCGTAGACGATGCAGCTAATGGCTTTGGACAGTGTACTTCCAAATGTGACTTCCAGTCTGACGTTTCCTTGTTTTAATAAGGTGAGATACTGATTCCCTTGAAAAATGGGTTCCAAATTAAATGTGTATAACGAATAACCATTTGCTATGTTTTGCCTGTCGATATCTAATCCACAATCAGATAACCATCTTCCAGTTGTTTTAAACATATTCCTGAGGACTGGAATGGTGGTCTGGCCAATGGTAGCATCGTAATCTAGTTTTATAGTGCTACCTCCTACTGGTATTCCGTCCACATAGAGACCAATGGATGTTATATTGAATGGTTGGAAGAACCATGGGTTTTGATTGTATGCTCCCGTGATTGCGGTTGCATCGACAAATCCAACGGTTACAAAATTTGGTCTCATTCCTTGAAATATGTTGTCATATGTAAAACTGGTTCCTCCAGCCGCAAAAGTGACATTTTTTAGTACACTTTCTATAAACGGATATTTTGCTGTAGTTGTTGCTAGGGCTTGACTTTGGGCATAGATGACGGCAGGCATCACTTTGACTTTAGCGATGCGTAGTCTAATATCTTCAAACTCGATCTTATAGTTGGGGGTTTGTGTTTCAGACAATAGGCAAAACTCTGGGTTTGATCTGTACATCTTCACATTTACGCTGACTTGATTGAGTAAATATCTGTCCATTCTGAATAGATCGTGAAATATGGGACCTTCTAAATCGACACTTTTACTATCCTCAAATAATTTGGCTCTTTTGAGTAAAGCTAAATTATCACCAGTTCTCACATCTGTATCATCATCTCTCCGTCGGTATCCTTATGCCATAACTGTGTCGTTAGCTGAGATGTTTTGGCGTCGTTTCCATACTTTAATAATGTCTGAATATATGCCTTGTAAGCATAATTACTCAGGGTAGAGACTACAGTTCTACCTTGAAGTGTAACATCGACTTGTGAAAATAGAGCAGGTAGCAAAAGATTGACGGGTCCCACGTCTTCAGTAGAGCTTATAGCAGATCCATCCGTCTTTTTATCTTTATTTTAGCGTGTTTGTTTGTTTGTTTGTTTGTTTGTTTATGTTTAACGGCCCATCGACGGCTGTGGTCATTTAGGGCCATGGTGATTTATTTATTTATTTTACTTTTTTAACAAACATGTGAATAGCGAAGATAAAATCAGATAAAATGGTTCATTTTAAAAGTATTCGCATTGTATGTGTAGATAATTAAAAATAATAAAAGGGGGTTAAAATAATAAAAGAGATAACGAATAGATGATATGGAATATGCGATATATATATAA